ACCCACAGAGGTCCCTTCCAACCCCTACCATTCTGTGATTTTGTGATTCTCATTTTTCCTGTGATGCTGAAATGTAAGGAATACTACTGGTTGACTGTTCTACTAGGGAAAATAAGCTGAGACTTTGTTCTAAAATTTGGATGATGGAAGAGTGGCTTCAGTGAAGCAATAGGGCTTTGTATGTTGTAGGTATTTTAAAAAGTAGGGAAATCATGAGAGAGGCCAACATTAGGTCTCAGGGAATAGCATAAATCCAAGTAGTACCGATGCATCATGCCTGAAGGTAAAAGCAGAATATATGCTTCATCTGTCTTTGAGTCAGGTAGCAAACAGTTGAAAATGAAACTGCGTTGTAGCCGCATTGAGACTCGCCTTTCCTGTTTCCAAATATCCGTTGACTAAACAAAGCTTTTACTTGCTGTTTTGACCTTGCAGGAAGAATTAGAATTGCAGTGGAGTAATTGAAAATCATAGAATCATAGAAAATGCAGCTGTTTGTCTCTATGTGGTCAAGAATATAAAAAGTGCTCCAAAGTATCAGGAAATCTGCTCCTGTGATCACTTCCTCCACAGGTTTTTCATAGCAAGGCAGGAAGGGCTTTCAGCGCAGCAGTACTTTACAAGGCTGCCTACTAAAAAATGCTGCAGTTTCCTGCGTGCTCTTGGGATGCCTGTTCCACTGAATCATCAGTATCCAGAGAAATTTGCATAGCTGCATGCTGTACAGTGTCATAAAATTGTGTGCATTGTAACAGTGATTGTTGTTTTTAACTGTACTTTCTTCATTGCCGTAGAAAGTTAAAAGTTGGGTTGTGAAAGCTTGTGTGTTTTTTTGTTTTCGGTTTTCTTTTTTTTTTCCCCTGTAGAGGTTATTCTGGGTTAAAATGTAGCTTTTCCTAAAGTTGAACAAAGACTTATCTAGGGAGTTCCGCTGATTTTCGCTGTTTTCATTTATTTGTTGCCTGGTTTCCCTTACAACCAGTGTTTGTTTGAAGTGTAGCTTAAGTATATCCTAGTGCTTCAAAGGAGGAAATACAGTAGTTGATATTTGTTAGTACATTTTGAATGATGAAGAATGATTCCTTGCCTACTGAAAAAGCCCAGAGTGTTCCCCTGGTATTAACATATGTAAAGCAAGGAAGAAAATGTAGTCTAAACCCACAATTTTAAGGGTAGAGAGAAAACAGGGCTAAAAAACTCACTCAGGATGAGTGTCAACTTAGTGATTGTTTGTTTTTTTTTTTAATAGGGTACTCAAAGAAAACCCAAAAGTCTTCCCCCCCTCGAACCAGAAGTTCTTTCTGTATTTGTGCCTCCATTTATCAGCAGAGATGATACTCAGGTGATGAATGCTGGTAATAACTTGAATAAAAGTAAACGCCGGTCTTTCCGAAAGAAAAAAGAACGACCAAAGATTGAAAATGTCAAGACTCTCAATGGGGAGCAGAAAGCACCTGACACAGAAGATATTGCAGTTCCGAAGGACATTGATCTTATTGGCTTGCCACAGCTGTGCTTCCCAGGTACGGCAGGGTTCACATGACTTCATGGGAACTGTTTTGATATATGTTTGTTGACCCATAGTGCAGACAATCTTTTTTTTTAATGATCATCTTCTCTATCTCTTTGTATTTCACAGTATAAAAAATATGTTTGCTTGTGAGCGGGTCAGTGATGAACGCAGCTGTCAGCTGAATGGGGTGCCCTTCCTCTGTATGGCTGTGTTGTGTGGAACAGATCTATTAGCAATAGTGGCAGCAACACCTGCAAGAGAGGGAAGCCAAAAGTCGCTTTAAGCCCTTGTGGGTAAATCTTGGTTTGAGTGAAGTGCACACAAGCACATGCTTTAAAAATTCTCACCCCCCCCCCCCAATGGCTAAGAGTACTCTTTCACTTTTCATTTGGTATGAAGATATACCTGAAGTAGTGACTGTTTCCACCAGGTTTAACTGCAGAAATTTAATATGCATGTCACTATTGCAGACCTTATAAACGTCTTGAAAGGGACAAAAAAAGTGAACAAACGCCATCTATTGTATTTTGCCACTTAAAATGCAGAATAATTATGTAATATTTTTGCTTCTTCAGTAATGTGCAGTTTATGGCCTTTGTAGCAACCCTGAGATCAAATGGACTGTATATGTGCATTTTAATCCCTTAAAATGACACATGTCTCTTGAAATTAAGTGGAAATGTACAGTATTTGTCATAAACTGCTTTTCAAGCAGCTGCAGTTAAATAGGGAGTTAAAAAAAAAGGTTTCTGCCTTCATTGCAGGAGGACTTTGTGTAACTTCTGAATCAAAAGAGGACCACATTCATTTCCTGGTCTTCACAGACGTCTGCGGTAACAGAACATACGGTGTTGTTGCACAGTACTACCAACCAATGCAAGTATGTTATTTAACCCATGCTTATATTAAAACATGCTAAAAGACATAAAATAACACAAACCACTTTGAGAATAATGTCAGGTTTAAGTTATAAAATTAGTTAACAGATATGTTTTTATGTTAGTAGGAATACAGAACAAATCGTAGTTTGTATTGCCATTGTAAATGAAGTACATTGGGACAGCATTGCATTAGGAAAATCTGTTATGGATTTCGATTAGGAGTTTGAATATTTAGGAGCAGACCTTGTCCCTTGGACTTTTTTTTGGTGAAGATTGTATCCTGTGTTCTTTCTAAATATGATTTGCTCTGAAATTCTTTTTAGTATGTATGTCGAAGTCTTGTAGGCTGACATTTTTCTGAAGAGCTTCAGGGAGATAGACATCCAAATCCCCTTGAAATTTAGAGGGAATTTGGTATCATATCTCTAGGGTTCTCAAGAAAACATCAGCCATAAATTCATGTTTAACATAAACACATTAATCTGTAGTTTTCTTGCAGGATGGCTGTATTTCCTCAAATGGGCAGGTCCATTGGGAATCTGCGCAGACTGGGAAGATGCCTGTCTGTTTTGTACCGTTTGCTGTTTGTGTTATATCCAGATACCCATATTTTAACGCCCTCAAGGACTGTCTGTCTTGGTAAGACTTGCGATTCTATGTGTTTTTCCTGGAAATAACTGTGCAGGTTTCAATATGTGAATTTGCGTGATGTGGTCAGGATAGCTGCATAATGCTAAAACAGGCATTAGTTTTAACTTCTGGTGGTGTGAGATGTGTGGGAGAAGAGAAGAAGAAATGCAATATGAATGTTACCCAAACAGTAAGTGCCAGTTCTGAATATCAAGGAAATTGCTTATGGTATTGTCTTCGTTTTCTTTGAGGTTTTTGGTAATTCTAGAGAATACTAATTTGCAGGGAACAGATTTCTCTCTCAATCTATAGCTATAGGGTTGACTATAATTTTGCTACCCTGGTGACAGTCACTTTGAAAGCACAAAAACCTCTTTATAGTGCACCAAATAAATGTCATAAGGACACGAATATATGTATTAATAAACAGTTAATGACACTTTATTCTTTAAATAATCTGAGTCACTTGAGGGAGTACAGTGGTTACTTGGCTGTTGTAGAACTAGGAGAGAAAATCTTAGGATACAGAGTACTTCAGTGGTCAGAAACACTCAGATACTCCACAGTGTAGATGAGATAAAAGATAAGCGGATGTGGGTCTGTCTTGTTATTTAGTGATTTAACTTATTGTGAGGTTGCACGATGCTTTCTTGTGAAATTGTTAAAATCTGTGTGCTTCTATTCTGAAGTGGATTAAAAACTCCTTGCATCAGGGAGCCTGTCTCTGTACATTTGACATCACCGGGTAATCTTCACTTGCAGACTCATAGTCTAAAGTTAGAAGAGTTTGTTTTTTCACTAAATTCCAGTCAAGCTTTCCAGAGTCAAATCTGAAGCGTTTTCCTTTTGCAGTTGTCAGGTGTTTTCCTTCTGCAGGTGTTTGCTTCTTATGTGTAAGTTGAAAGATGTTAGGGTTTTAGATCGGAGCTTGGATCTTCCAGTTTGTTCTGCCGGCTGTCGGTACGCTGAGCAGATGAGCAAGCGAGGGTGTGCTTCCAGGCTACCAGCTGAGGGGCATCACTAGCCCCTAACCTGAGTCCACACCAGGAGGAGACCTGAGCATGCATTTCCACACCCCATGCACCTCTTCTTCCCCGTGCTGTGGGCTTGGATCTGGTTGGAGCTCTGACTGGCTTTCCCTGGTTTAGATGGAGAGAGCCCTGGAGGAACAAAGCAGTGCTGCCGCCTTGGGCAGTTCAGATGTTGCCTCCAAAAAAGCTGTGACATCAGAAATGAGTCACTCCGGCAGCCCCCAAGTATGAGCAAACACACCACTGACGCTGTTCGTGCTACCTCTGCTCTGCCACTTTCAAAGCAGTAGTAAAGAGGTTTAATGTGGACAAGGGACTTGCTGGAAGCTAGGTATTCACAGATTAGTGAGAAATCGAGATAATCAGCAAAATAAAAAGGCAATGTTTGTTTCCCTCTCTCCTTTACTGCTCAGATCACTTTTTCCACTCCTTATGCTGAAGTCAATTGCATCAGCTGTTGGCATTGCAGGAGCTGATTCATTGCTGCCTGTTCCTGATCTCAAGTAAACACTAACCTGCATATGTAACTCTTAACAGCTACGTACCTGAGCTGCGGTGCTGTGCTGTTTATATCCAGTTTTTATAATAGGATTCATGCTTCTTTTATACTGTGAACTCATCCTGTATGAGGGCTCGCTACACACTAGCTTTCGTCTGGGTGAGATTCAGCTTTACAGTTATGGTGTTCATCAGTGGTTTATGTAGTATATTCGTAAAAGAGTAATTTCTTTTCTGAAGTGAGACCTCTCTGAGCTGAGAGAAGCAGTCAATTTGCAAACAGATTTTTAAAGAGCCCAGTAAGGCAGAAGTGGGAAGACGTTCAGGAAAACCATTGAACGTTCCAGAGGTTACAGAAATGTTTCTAGGTCTTGTATTTGTTTAGAGCAGACAGGAACCAGGTGGAGTTAACCCTCTAGAGATGCAAACTTCTGCCTCTGGGTGGGTATTTGAAACATTTTAATTAAACATTATAATTAAACGTCTCTGTCTTGGTTATATGTAGTAGGGTTTTGCACCCGTTTAAAGCATGAATGTCCAACCTAACTACTATGGATGGCTTTTCTCTTTAAGCTGAGTCTGTACTGGTTTCTAAGGGGAGTTCAGATTTATTGGTAACCTACCACCTAAGCTTTAAGTGATCTGTAAATATATGAATAATTATAGGGGAGTTCAACAGGACGGTAGCCTTCCACGTTAGTACTGTGTGTAGTCCTGGTCATTTAACAGGGGAATCTGTCATACAGTTGCACTGCTTTCCTCTCTCCTTTTTGCTGCTGCATCTGGATGTAAAATGCAGGTGTAACTGGCAGGAGAGGGGGAAGGCAAGTGAGAAAGCTGCGTCTGGTGCTGGCATGTCCCACTGTACTGGAAACTCAAGTGATGAATTTTCCATGATATTCTGGATTTATTTTTTTTAAAATCTCATAATCACCACATATTTTCCTTGATACTATCTGACAAATAATTTCAGAATGTCTGCCCTTCCATTTTTTGTTTTTGATTTTTGTTTTTTTTTCTTAGAAAAGGTATTTTGCTGTGCCAGAGTATACTCGAGCAGGAGGAAAGGAGGGGGTGGAGAGCTACCTTTTTTCCCTCTTTTGGCTGTGTTACTGACGTTTTTCCATCTGACATGAAACAGCTGCTGGGGTGTGGAGCTGTTTGGAATGGGATATAAGCTATTACAGTATCACCTCAGTGATACATTTTGAGCGTAATGCCCTGTACAGCTGGGGATCTTTCAGCTTTTGGTAACATTGCGAAACATTGACATTGTTTTCCTGTAAACCAGAAAGGGAGTTATTTTCCTTGCGGATACCTTGGCTGCAATCAGGTGGCCAATGGGTTAAAAATCTAATTAAATGCTTTTGTTGACCGAGTGCACTCAAGTAGTAGTGCCTCCTGTACTTAGCATGTAATAACACGTTCAAGAGCGCACTTGTATCCTTGGTATGATTCAGTGGTGTTTTGCAGGATGCTTCGAATGATAAATCATTCTGCGAGTCTGGCGATTTGAAAACACTTGCTGGTGAACCTTGAACCACCTACTTCTGGAGTGTAGTCTTTTCCTTGTGAGAACTAGTGGAAAAATGCTATTTGTTATTGCTAATAAGGCCTGATGTTGAAGTAGCATCTAAAGGGGTTCTGCTTCCATTCAGAACCTTTTTGAAGCAAATGATTTCATTTTCCTCCAGAATTCTGCTCTGCATAGCTTCTTTTCTGCAGCACCTGCAGTGCACAGGATTGCTTATAGATGAGGTGGTACTTGTTTTCATTCAGAAGAGTCCTGAGAAGTATGTTATTGTCATGAGCATTCCCAGATAAAACCTGGGTTCCTAAACTTTTTCAAATGGCAAAATATAGTAGAAATCACAACTGAAAACTGAGACCAAACTGGGATACAAAGGCAACGTCAAGCTATAAATCCATATAGATGATTTGAACTGCAAGGGGACCTTGCAAACTTTCATAATAGTAATGAAGGTCTTTATATCGTGTAATTAATTTTATATTTAATTCACGTATTACTAGTGTACAGTGCTTCCAAATCTGGAACAGTTTGAATGGGGTGTGTCTGCCTCTCTCCAAAACAAACAGATGTGCATCGAGACCGTTTCATGGCACTGCAGCTGTTGGATTATTTTCTATATCATCATTTGAAAAGGTTCAGTTTTAAATTGAGAGGTTTTGGCACTTTGCACAGGTAGTTTTACCTCAATCTGTTACACTACATGAAAAGTGAAATATTCCTGGCAGTAAGCTCCTTCTGGATGAACTCCCATCTTGGATGGATGAATTGGCTCCATTCAAACCGTAAATCTTCCAACCTGTGCATTAGTCCCTTCAGCTGCCTTGAGGGAAGGTGGAAGCGTGCAAATAGCTCGCAGCATTGAGGCAGTACAAAGGACCTATTCTTAGATGTTCTGGCTTTCTGAAACATCTGTCAGTGGACAGTTAATAGAGGTAATGGAAGGTTCATAAACTCCTTAGCTCTCTGCTTTAATGTTTCAGAGATTACTTCATTTATTTCAGCAGACGTTTGCAGCGCAGAGCTGTCAGCTGCTATTACCGTGCATTGATGGGCACGGTGTACTGATTAGGGAGCTCTTACTGGCCTTTCTGTACATCTGCTGCTTTTTCAGCATCGAGGTCAGGTTGTTTCTATTGTAACATTTACTGTATGTGTAAAGCAGGTCTACCTATGCTGTTAGGCCTCATCTAAGGCATTACTAAGTGTGACAACATATTTGTTTAAATTGATGGTGCTACTGTGTGGTCTTCTTTGATAATTCTTAAACGCCCCTCCCCCTGCCTCCTCTGCACCCCTAAATAGGTGGTGGGATTTTTGGGGATATGTGTAACAGCCTACTACTGAGCCCAGGGCAGTTTCCAGATGGGAGTTTAGTAAACTGAAATGTCTCATTAATCCAATTAAAAGCTCAGTAATATATGAGAGAATATTTTTATTCAGGAATCTAAATGCCATACACAAATATGGTGTCTTGGATTCTAATATATCTCTTGACCTATTCAGTTGCTTTCTAGACCGCTTTCTTCCTGAAGAGCGAATATTCTTCTGCATGAAACCACTAAACTGCAAACTGAAATAAAACCTCAAGGGAGAATATAACCATATTAACTTCCCAGTTTCTGTATATGTGGATTTGCAGGCTTAAATTTCTGATTTTGTAAAGATTTGGGGTCTCTTTTTTTAAAAAATTTGCTATGAACATGCACATGACTCTTACATTGAACAAAATGCTCTTTCTGACCACAAATATCTAACATCTTAGTTGTTACATTTCAGAAATGCTGTTGGACTTGATGATTCTCAGTCTTGATAGGATATATGTTTAGATGTTCCTGAACTGATCTGGCATATAGTATAAACCGGATGACCTTTGTGGCTTGGACACACCTAGGGTAATGCAGTTCTAAAACAATAGGTTTGCACAACGGTATTTGCTCTTTGTATGGGTAGGAACAATAGCAAAGAGCAGTGTCCGTGCAGGCTGAGGCCTTATGCTAAGTGTGGCTCTTGCTTCACAGTCTTCTGCAGTTAAGCCCATGTCTACAACCCCTCTTTTCCTCTGATGTTGTTTTCCATCCCAGAGCTGATGTCTGATGTTTGGGATGGGAAAAACACCGTGGCACTGTATTGCAGCTGTGGGTGTTCTGTTCCTCAGGCAATCTCTGTAAGACACTTCCTTTAGTTGAGTCTCACCTCTAGGTTTTCTTTGCCATCGTGAGACCCAGTGTGCCATCTGCATCCTCTGATATATATGATGCAGTAGTACATTATGCATGGAAGTAAAAAAAATAAAACCCTGCTTCTGATGCAGCAGCATCATTAAAATTAAATGGAGCTGCTGAAGTGTCTAATAAATTAGAAATTAATTAGCTGGAATAATAGCTTCATTGCTCCTAATAATTTTTTTTTAGTTCTAGGTTATCAGCACAAAGGCTTTTTTTCTGTTTGCATGTTACTATTTATAAGTAACTTTCTATAATTTAATTTCAGCTTACTAGTGCAACTACGACATTTCAAGGATTTAGATGCTGAGGAGCACATAAAAGAATTTGCAGCAAAGTTATTTTTAATACCCAGCCCGCCACCAGGACCACTCCACTTGGTAATTACTGATGCTGAATTTCATAATTACTTGAACATTTTGTCTTCTAAAGCACTAAGATGTTTTCTGTAATTTCTGTAATCTGTCAGGTCAGAGATTGTACTTGCTGATACAAAACTGATGTCAGTACCTGTGCTTTGAAAATACGGCTATGCATTATTAGTACATAAAATAACGGGGTGACCAGGGTGCAGGCTCGAGCACTGGCATTCCAGTTGGTCACGTTGTTGCATCTTTAATACTGTTCTGGGAAGGATTTGGCTCATGCCAGCTATTTACTCTCCAGGATGATGCCTGGATATGTCTGGGGACAGCATGCTCTAGCTTTTGGTTTCTAGAGGGGCAACCCACATAATCTCTGCTACAAATGGGTGACAGCTCCAGCCTGTAACTACTCTGTAAGAATGGAAGCTTCCCTTCTGCCTGAACGGTATGGCATTGCTGTCTCATTGAATAAACATGTATGAACTACAGTAAATCATATAACTATTACTCGACCAGAGTGTGGGAGTTCCACATCTGGTGTCTGATATCAAGATATGTGGCCTGACATGGATGCTCATGGCTGTCATCCTGGTTGTGTGATGGGTGGACGTGCAGCTGTGTGACTGAGAAGTAGTGCAGTCTCTGCGAGAGAGAAGAGGCCAAGGAAATCAGTTGCTGGAACAACACATACAGCTCTGGACCTGTTCTCCTCTTTGTCCGAATGAGTCTGGGGAAGCAGAACAGTGTGTAGTGGATTAAATGTTCTGGTGAGTGGATTAAATGTTCTGGATTGGCTGTTGCCTGGATAAGACCTAGCTGAGAGGAGCAGCTCACATAAACATTTGTATTTGGTGTAGAAGCTAGGATGTGAGTTGCTGGAACAACACATACAGCTCTGGACCTGTTCTCCTCTTTGTCCGAATGAGTCTGGGGAAGCAGAACAGTGTGTAGTGGATTAAATGTTCTGGTGAGTGGATTAAATGTTCTGGATTGGCTGTTGCCTGGATAAGACCTAGCTGAGAGGAGCAGCTCACATAAACATTTGTATTTGGTGTAGAAGCTAGGATGTGTGGGCTGTATTTTCTTCTTTATAACCATTCCCAAGTCAAGCTAGATGTTAGCTGAGTCAGTGATTTTGGCACACTGTCTCTTTTGGCTGCTGAAATGGCTCCTAGGGAAGCAGTGCTTCAGCCATGGGCTTCCCCTGAGCTGCTTTCCTTGACCCTGGGATGGGGGTTTAGGAGCAGAGCTAAAAATAGCATAGCTGGAAAATTGAATGATGACTAAACCAGCTTCTAGTTATCTGAATGATTGGCTAAACCACCTGGGGGTTGGGCCAGATGAGCTCTAAAGGTCCCTTCCAACCCAAAGTGTTCTATGATTCTACGATTCCAAATGCTGAAATATGGAGCACGTGCAGGATCTGGCCTTCCTGAAGTTTGAGCTGGAGTATTTGGAACACTGAAAGAGCTCACTTGTTTTGTCTTGTTCTGTCTTCTTAACGTGAGCACCTGTGCTCAGTTATTTTGTTTGTATTTTTTGTTTCCTGTTTGAATGTTATAAATACTTTTGATTTCCCAGTTGTATCTACAAATACAAATTCCGTTATTTTGTTATGCTTATAACAAAGCAAGTTTAATTCTATTAAAAGAATATGTCTATATATTTTTAAAGCTTTATTGCCTAAACAACCTATGAGAATGAAAGGAGACAAAGTCTATTTTAATATTTCCCTCTCTTTCTATTTCAGTTTTCTGCGGTATTGAAATATCTGTCTTCTTGCTCTCAATACTGTTAATATTTTGTATTTGGAACTAAAATCCCAAATTAAATGTGTTGTGGGAACGTTTTCATTAAGAAGTAAATGGAAAACCTCTGTTATTACAGGTATTTAATATGAAACCACTTCAAATAATAATTCCTTCACAAGAAGATCCAGACAGTCCAATTATTGACTTGGATCTTCATCTTCCATTGCTGTGTTTCAAGCCAGAGCAGGTGCTGCAGGTAAAACTAACTGATACTTTAAAAGATATTAGAGATTGACAGTAGTGGTAATTTGTGGTTTAGAAAAAATCAAGATGTTCAGTTACCCAAAAAGCATTACCAGGAATCCAAAATAGGGTTAGTTCTGCGTATCAGAAATAAGGCACAATAAAATGTACTTCTTATTAAGTTATTTTGTTACTTGTAGACCAGGTTAGGTTAAGTCATATTGGATTGCTTTCTCCTGTGGTTTAGCAACAGGTGCTAAATTTTTTAAGAATATATTTTAAATACCCAAGCCGATTGAGAGATTTTATTTTGAATTCTCATTCCGTGCATTTCTACAAGATTAATAAGAACCTGTTTCAAGTGTAAGAAACGGACCTGTAGGATGGATTGGTAACAGTTGGCACTCTCATAAATGAAGTGTAAATGGTGTAGAAAGACAAGAAAATACAATGTGCACATTATGAATAAAACTTCCAACTGAGACGGTCTAGTCTGTTCTATTCTAAATCCTTGATGGTCCTCTGCAACTGGGGTGTCTTGAGCATTGGAGTTTTATGTGTTAACACCTCTGCGAAATGTCCCATGTGTGCCATTAGTCTTCTTGGCTTGAATTCATCCTACCAAACCTGAAGCATCTGAGTTTGGTGCTTCGATGCCCTTGGGTCCGTTTCGATCGGCAGAAAAGGGTGGACACCTCCAGACAGCTTCCTGAATTGCTCTGTGAAAGCGCTGCTGTCCAGTGGCACTCAAGGAACCTAACTTGCTATCATCTGGTTTAGATATTTGGCTGAGATGTCCAAAACCTAGATGGTCTTTGTGTTCATGGTCAACGACAAGTTTGCTTTTATTCTTCATCTGGGTACTTTGTACAGGCATTTTATGGTCTAATACTGTGAAAGAAAGGTGACGGGTGTTCTTAGTAATTCCAGCTAAATTCTAACCTCGTTGACAGTGGTGGGAAAACTCTCATTGACTTCCACTGTCACTTAAATTTTCTCTCCTTTTCTGTTTTCTTCTCTTCTTAGTTTTGTAAGAATCCTGAAGTGAACTTTATTTGAATTTATAAATATGTGAGGTAGCTATTAAAAAACAGGACTTGTGAGGCTGAGTTTCACAAGCAGCTGAAGTATTTGTGCATATCTAGTATCTTCTAGATATAACGCTTTGTAAACATTTAGCATTTTGTTTTTTTCCAGATTATGACCTGTATTTTGACTGAGCAGAGAATAGTGTTCTTCTCTTCTGACTGGGCTCTGCTGACACTCGTTGCTGAATGCTTCATGTTGTACCTTCATCCTCTTCAGTGGCAGCACACGTTTGTGCCTATTCTGTCTCGTCACATGCTGGATTTTGTAATGGCCCCAACATCTTTTCTTATGGGATGTCATGTTGATCATTTTGAAGAAGTAAGCATGGTATGTTTTAGACTGTTACCACTTACGCTGTTCACTGTCAGTGTGTTTGTCCCCTTACTTCTTTGAGATGCATCTAGAAACTTGCTTTTGTTATTTATTTGTGTGAGAAGTGAAGAAATTAAAAGTAGTGGAACATATGGATGTGACCACTGGGTTATTGAAAAAACTTATTGTTATATCCCTTTCCTTTTTTATTTGCAGGATAATATCCTGATTTTTGTGAGCTCACGTTTCATTTGGGGAAAAATTCTACTTACCTGTTGTTTGTATTACGTGAAAAGTTTCCCTTCAGATCAGTGAGGTTATTTTTTGCTTGGAGTTGTGTGGGGTGAATTAGGTGCCTTTTTCAGGCAGGCATCTGGGTTAAGAATTGAGCATGCAGTTGAAAATACTCTAATGATGCTGCTGTTCCCTATGATGGAGTTAAGTATTTAATAAAGTAAGAAAGAAAAAGCAATGTAAAGAATGTAATCTCACAATTTTTCTGAGGGTTTTTTCTCTTCTTTTTTCACCAAGCCTCTTTCAATGGCTAATGTTAATCTTGGTTACTCAAAAAGATGTAAGAAAAAAATCAGCTTTGTAAGGCAGGGTTAACGTGAATATAATTTTTTGAGAGTGTCGCATAGGTTTTCTGTAAGGAAAACTGTGTGTTACATTAGATTATTCCATCTGATCATAAGACAAAGTGAAACTGGACCATCCAGTCAAGTCCAAAATGAGCAAAGAATTAAGCTGACACAGGCAATTGTTTAAATTGGTTTTTTTTTTTAATTAGCAGTAAATGATGTCACTATCAGGAATAAGTGCAGATTAGAAAACACACTTTGATATAATTTGAAGGATTTTATTTGTTTATATATACTGTGTTACAGTCTGATCTTTAAGGTTATGAAAATTGCAAGGTGAGAGATCAGCATGGACTTTACCTCCATGTGACTTTTTGTTCATTAGCATCTGTTTCCATGTTTGAGATTCTAATATATGAACACTCCCTCTCTCAGTCACCCCACAGGGTAAGTACAGGAGTAAATGCTGTAAATAGGCTTTTAGGGAGCTTCTTTGCGTACATATATATGGTTTTGTACATATCTTCATATCTGTTCCATTTCCAGGATAAGCTTAGAGATTCAGTATTAATTTAGTACTGTATGAAGAGAATATTAGATTACCAGATGTTTGTGTATGGAGATTAATATCTATTCATTTAAAGGAATTTATTTTTCTTGAAAGTAATTGTGTAGTTATCCATATGATCTTCTGGTTGGGAGGGGAAAAAATCAGCCATTTTCTGGTTTGTCATCTTGCTGAAATAATTCTTTGCCTGAGAACTATTATAAAGAAATAAATGTGAACTATATAAAGAAGTAAATGTTTTCACAGTATAGGTATATTTACAGTCATTTTGTTTACTTTTGTTTTAAAGGAAACTGAAGACTTAATTCTAATTAATATTGATAATGGAGATATTACACATTCAAAAATGGCTGAAGAGGAACCTGAAATTCCAGATGTTCCAGCAGAAGCAGCAGAAACTTTCATAAAAAGGTGAAAAGATGTTGAAGTTGTGTTTATCATAGTGCATGCTTGACCCTCTAAGTTTTTTGTTTTGTATGATTTATTATTATTTCATTCATATAAAACCCATTGTATTTGATAAGGAGAAATTGAAAATTTCAATTAATTAATATACAGGTAACTTTAACCAGTTGTAACCGTGTTATTTTGCAACACCTGGAATGCTTGTTTCTTTTTTATTACTGAAACGGATTATTCTCTGAACTTTACTGCTCTTTGCAAAGACGACTGAGTGCACTGTCATTCACATGTAGGACTAGTAGGACTTCCAGGAATCTCCTTAGCTTGTCAACACTTGCAAATCAATCTTGCACTTTCTGTAGCTGTAAGATGCGTGAGGCCTCAATGACTTTTTCTTTAAAAGGTATGAAAGAAGTCATTTGCGTTAGGATTTAACTCGATGATTTTCTACTCTGTGTAGAGTGGAGAGCCTTCAGCTGCATTATGATCTAGAGCTCTGCCATCTCCGAGCCAGCACAGATCTCAGTGAACTCCAAATGCGTAGAAGGGCTTGGCAACAGAAACTGAATACAGAAGTTCAGCAAACGACTTTGCAGTTGATTGTTAATATCTTCAGGTGAGTGAACAAAGTACTTTTTTTTATTGTAAGAGCATATGGTACTGGTTAAGACACTTCCATTGTCACTGAATATATTCTGATTTTGTATTACTTTATAGATGTTTCGTAAATCTCTGAAGTTTTATGAGGGAATGTGAGAAGGAGGTCCTGCTAGCCTGCTGGAGTATCAGTAATTAATGTATTCGGGTACATACACATTGCTAGGACACCTTAGATAAAACTGTTCTAATTTTGGACTTGTATGGCTTTTATATGAAGTTTCCAGGAAGAGAAGTGCAGTCCTCATATTGTGTAATTCAAAAAAGCTTAAGGCGCAGTAGCGATATCAATTTCCAAATGGGCACGGTCTTTGTCACTCTTGTTAGAGGAAAATGAATTTGAACTGGGACAGGGTAGAAGAGCTGAAAAAAGGATTGGGAGTTCAGACCACCTGGGTGCGTGTTGGTTAACTGAACAGATGCTGAGAATGGATGAGATGCCTGGAGAGTGCAACCACAAGAGAATGAAGGAGGGCAAGGAGCTGTTTAAGCTGGAGGACAGAGTATTGGCACAAGAAGTGGTGATACTTCTTGTGGGTGTGGTTGGGACTGACATGTTAATAAGGTGTGGAGTAGGTTTTGGGTTTTTTCTTCTAGAAAAAGATCCAGCTATGCTAATTTTTCTTTTTCGTAATCTAATGTAATGTGTTGATAGCCACAGCTGCTTTATCTTATCGCTCTGGGTACTGGTTGTGAATTCTACTATTATTTGCTTGTATTTGGGGAGGGAATGAAAGCGTGATAGGTGATTCGTACAAAAAAGTGCAGCAAATGGATGGCTGGTTTGCCTATGCTGCGTTTCTTTTTTCGTAGATACTAACATAGTTGCACGTGAAAATGAAACTGCCTAGCTGGCATTTCTGAAGGATCTGATTATATGGGCGGGGGTCTGCAGACAGCTGTGCAGATAACCATCCCCAGCTATTTCTTGCTGGAGGTAGTGTTGCCCTTCGCATCAGCTACCTGATTGCTCACATGAATGCTCCCCAGAAGGTGCTGGGTTAATCTGTATCGTCCAAATACCAGTTCCCTGTTAACCTGCTGGCTTCTGTTGGACCAGCTTAGGGAGTGTTCCTCTTCCTCCGAGTGGCTGGGCCCTCCAGGAGGGGACAATAGCTGCTGGGTGTGGGGGATAGAACAGGCTTTACAGCAAGCTGGATATGGAAACTGAAATGCATTTACAACCTGCTGTGCCACTGCTGTGGGATTTGGTGGATTTCAGTGTTTGGCAACAATATGTTCCAGATAAAGATGAGGAGAAATGCATTTTGCTGCTGACAGCTTGAACTCTTCAACGCACTAAACGCTTGGCTACAAAAAATGAACAGATGCTGTGCTCTCTAAGAGATAATACGTTGTGCAACGAGGTTGATTCTTCTCTTGCTTTCTTTCTCCTTTCCTTCAAACTTTTTTCTTCTTTTTTTTTCAGCCTTGTTTCTTCTGTCTTCTAATGCTATATCTACCAGCGTCCAGGAGTGAAGTAAAGCAGATCTCCAATGCAATTGTGCTGCCAGTTGCTACTGTCTTCAGTGAAGCACTGTAGTATTTTTGTGTGCGTGGAGGTTCCATGTTTAAAGCAAACAATGCTAAATTATGTAGAATTATACAGAACTGTATACTTTTACCAACCGTCTCTTGTGTGGCTAGATAAACTGGTAATGTGCTTTTATCACTGATTTATGAAAGACAAGCAATGTATAGACCTGTCAGTTCTCTGCATGGGTATGAGATTCCCCTCTTGTGCTTACATTCAAGTTTTAGCTCACCAAATTATATTTCCTTCATTCACATATTTTAATGGGAATTTCTTATTCCTCAGTACCCAGGAAGAGTAGGTGAAATAAGATGTAATGATGAAAGGAGCCCTGATTTTAGCCACTTGCACGTATCTAGCTTAATTAACTTATCATTTCTTACTCACAGACTTCAGAGAACAGCTTTTTTTTCTGAAAAATTCCCACTTTCTGCTCATGAAACAACTTTTTCTGGCTCACATTTCGGGCACAGAAGTTGCTATTGATGCCTGGTTTTCCAGGAACAGTACAGGGCCTCTGCTGCCTGCAGTGACCATGCATAGACTAAAATATGCATCAGTTGTTTTTGGTTTAACACAATTTCCAGTTATTGCTGGCTTTATGAGCAGCGTTAGAGAGTGCAACAGAAAATTATGTAACTTATAATATTTCACATGCATGTTACAGATGCAGTGTAATGGGACAGTGTGAGGTCAGATCGCATCTTTCAGATTCCCTATGCAGATAGGTACCACTTGTCTTTTTAGTGCTCCAGATAGGTTGTATGTGATTCAGGAGCTGTATATGTAAATGTAATTCCAGAATTGAAGCATAGGCCATGACTCAGATATATAGATTCTCCTCCATGATTTACTAAAATTGATCCCACAGACTCGAAGTGAATTTGCAGATTTGAAATGGCAGTGGCAGCAGGTAGCCTGTCCTACTTCTGTAAGGAGTTTGCATTCTTTTTGTGTGGTTCAGTAACTCACACTTGTTCGTTAAAACTGAGTTTGCCTTCTGGTGCTGCAGCATAATTCTATTTTGCCTTCTCATGCTGCAGCATATTTCTATTTTGCCTTCTGATACTGCAGCGTATTTCTAGTAGTACCAGTGGGCTGCTGCTATGGCAAAAGTGCAGTTTGCTTACAAACCGTCAAGCACATTTATCTATTTATTTATTTTTGTCTCCAGGGAAGTAAAAGACCATCTAAATTATGAACATAGAGTATTCAACAGTGAAGAATTTCTGAAAACAAGGGCAATCGGAGACCAGCCATTTTACAAAAAGGTAAATTCAGTGTTAAACATGTTGTGATTCTCAGTTACTAAAGTGCATTTTAGTATTAATGTCAAAAATTAATAGAGTGGTCACAGTTTTCTGTGTGGTGTTGTTGAGCCACCAGCTTTTCACATCATGCTTTACCAAATTTATTTTATTTACTGTAAACAGATAAAACAGTAGATGGCGTTTTGGAGAGCAAGATACTATGTAATTCCAGAGCAAATTAAATGTAATTCCTCAGGGGTGAGATTAACCTGTGGCAGATGGTCAGTAAAGCTACGTCTAAACTGTATTTTAAGCACAGGCACCTATCCAAACTGTTTGGACTGAAGCCCATTTGTAGACTTGAGTTTTCAGCAAGCCTGTGAGCGCAGCAGAAGGGAGCTCAGATGACACAAATCAAAGTACTTGCTTTATCTGCAACCTGAGGAACAGGGCAAGGAGCTGACGATGCCTGCTTGGCTCCAGGCCACGAGCCCGTCTCCTGCAATGGGTCACAGCGAACGCATGCTGCTGACTCTGAGCACGAGTGGCAGTGGTGTCCTTAGGGCAGCAGTGTGACGGGGCATGTGGGACGTAGGTTGATTTAGCTCACATGTGCTTTACCAGGTGGTATAACCATAGCTGATTTACTATGTGCTGGTGAAGCCTGTGAAGTAATACTCAAATAGCACATCGCCTTGGGCCAGGCTCAGTAGTGCTGGAGGCTGAAGGACAATCTGAAATCCTCACTTAGTTTTTCTTAGACCTCCTTCTAACTCAGCTTATTAGACACTTATCTGGGTTGGAAACAAGTCCTGAGTCCCTTTTGCACATGCCCTGATGAGCTTGACCCTTCTGTTAGCGTAAACTTGATCTGCTGAAGCTTGGAAATGACTCAGTTTTCACCCAGTGCATGCAGTGAACCAGGTTTTTGTGAAGGATGCAGACAGTTTTCCTCTGGAGCACAGAGAGTGCTGGTGCCTGAGTGTGCCTTTTATGTAATGACTTTGTATATCCTGAGAAAATGGGGTGGGTTTAATTTCCTCATTAAAAGGAGAGTGTCTTTGTCACCAGGCTGTAGGATTTAGAGGAGTTCTCCATGCCTTTGATGTGGGACTGTCACGGACCATCAAAGATTGGAGGTCGTCTGGGCGAGAAGGAAGGAGAAAGGAAGGGGGAACAGAAGGAAAGGAGCAGGGAGAGCAAGAGATTAAGAGTATGCAGGTTCCTGTGAGAGTGTCTTGCAGTGTTAGGGTACTATGCCCAGAAGTGGGAAGGTTACATCAAACTGTTTGCACCTGATTAAATTAAATATTTGCCTTCACAGAATTAAACTAGACTGTTGTGTCTGTGAGAAACAGAATTTACGTGTTTTGAGCGTTTGTGTCTAGCCACGTGCAGTGTTCTACAGGAATTCGGTCTCGACACAGCAAGCCAAAATCCAAAGTTGTAAACTCTTGTGATTTTTTTTTTTTTTTTGAGTGTCGTGAGTATTAACCAGATAAAAAGTTTACGTTAGTTAAATGAAAAAGTAGTTGTTTGGAAGACTGTTACCCTGAACTGGGAGTGTCTACGGTCAATACCTGGTTTCTGAAGGGATGCAAGACGTGTTTCTCAGCTTCTTTCACTCTTTGGTGCAATTTACGTAGTAGTTTTCAACAGAGACTGTATTGAGTAGTTTTTTATTCCAACCAACTGCAGACATGTTGTGCTGTTATTTAAGCTTCTCAAAAGTAAAACGTTATGGAGTTCTGTCTTCCATTTTTGTGGTGATACTGTAGCTTGTTTAGGAAACCTGTGGGTCAAAGCAAAGCTTTAACAAGGACATCTGCCATGTATCTGGGCATCTGCCATTTTACATTTGCTTTTAATTTCGTTCATGGGTGCATATGAAAGTTACAGAGGTTTTCTTTGCCACTAGCATTTGGTGGATGGATCTCTGGAGTAACAGTTTTACATCTGGCAAAGAGATCAGTTCTGGGCTCCCCAGTTCAAGAAAGATGAGGAGCTACTGGAGAGAGTCCAGCGGAGGGCTACGAGGATGATGAGGGGACTGGAGCATCTGTCCTGTGAGGAAAGCCTGAGGGAGCTGGGCTTGTTCAGCCTGGAGAAGAGAAGGCTGTGAGGGAACCTTATAAATGCTTATAAATATCTGAAGGGTGGGTGTCAGGAGGATGGGGCCAGACTCTTTTCAGTGGCGCCCAGCAACAGGACAAGGGGCAACGGGCACAAACTGAAGCATAGGAAGTCACAGAGACCCACAGAGGTCCCTTCCAACCCCTAACATTCTGTGATTCTGTGATCTCTTCATTAACATCAACAGGCCGTGGTTGATAACATCATTTTTGTTTCCTGTTTTGTTTCGTACTTCAAACATACGATAAGAAAATCATAGAACCATAGGTTGGAAAAGACCTCTAAGATCGTCTAGTCCAACAATCCACCCAACACCACCAGGCCTACTAAACCATATCCAGAAGTGCCACATCTACACATTTTTTGAACACCTCCAGGGATGGGGACTCCACCACTTCCCTGGGCAGCCTGTCCCTATGCTTCACAACTCTTTCAGTAAAGAAATTTTTCCTAATATCCAATCTAAACCTCCCCTGGCGCAACTTGAGGCCATTGCCTCTCGTCCTATCACTAGTTACCTGGTCAATGTCCTTCTTGTAATGAGGGGCCCAAAACTGAACACAGTACTCCAGGTGCAGCCTCACCAGTGCCGAGTACAGGGGCACGATCACCTCCCTACTCCTGCTGGCCACACTATTCCTGATCCAAGCCAGGTTGCCATTGGCCTTCTTGGCCACCTGGGCACCCTGCTGGCTCATGTTCAGCCGGCTGTTGACCAGCACTCCTACTTCCTTCTCTGCCGGGCAGCTTTCCAGCCACTCCTCCCCAAGCCTGTAGCATTGCATGGGGTTGTTGTGACCGAAGTGCAGGACCTGGCACTTGGTCTTGTTAAACCTCATACAATTGGCCTCGGCCCATCAGCGCAGCCTGTCCAGATCCCTCTGCAGAGCTTTCCTGCCCTCAAGCAGATCGACACTCCTGCCCAGCTTGGTGTCATCTGCAAACTTACTGAGGGAGCGCTTAATCTCCTCATCCAGATCATTGATAAAGATGTTAAACAACACTGGCCCCAAAACTGAGCGCTGGGGAACACCACTCGTGACTGGCCGCCACCTGGATTTAACTCCATTCTCCATCACTCTCTGCGCTTGGCCATTCAGCCAGTTCTTTATCCAGTGAAGAGTACACCCATCCAAACCGTGGGCAGCTAGTTTCTCCAGGAGGATGCTGTGGGGAACAGTGTCAAAGGCCTTAATAAAGTCCAGGCAGATGACATCCTCAGCCTTTCCCTCATCCACTAGGTGGGTCACCTGGTCATAGAAGGAGAGCAGGCTGGGCAAGCAGGACCTGCCTTTCATGAACCCAAAAGTTTCTGAAAATCCGTTTAAAGGAGATGCCAGTGTGTGAAGGAAATGACCAGATAAGTATCTCATTTTATGTGAGTGACAGTTGCCAACCTTGGCAGAGTATCTGGCAATTCAGCGATAACAACCTGATGAGTCCTAAATAGAAGATAATATTTGTTGGACAAAGCTTGCAACGCTAGCAAACATTCTTAAAAGCAAACAACAAGGAAAAATTCAAAAGAACCTGTTAATACATCATCAGGAGAGAAATTAATCAGAAATGTTCTGACCAGGATATGAAATGAATAAAAATAATTAAAATATTTTCAGTAGCAGTTTCTAATGCTGTAAATGAAATAGTGGCAATTTTATGAAAGGAAATTTAAAATTAATTTGGAATTCAGATGTGCACATTTACGAAGAGGTTTGAGCAGTTGACTCAAATACTATTTAACATAATGGCAGGTTTGCTTTCAAGCAAATCTTTGAAGTTAACACAACATGGAGTAGTTACTAATGGTATTTACAAGAATATTAAGAGAACTCCAAAAACCATTAGAAAGGACTCTTTCAGCTCCTGCAGCTTGTCATCTCCTGTACATAGAATTGCCAACAAAATATGCCATCTACTGGCGAAATACTTAAAAGCAGAAATCTTTGTGCTTTTGTAGATGCCATTTTACAAGGGATGTTGCAAATGGATTATTAAGAGGCATCGTGAATAAGAATGACCTGTTTGTTGGTGAAACATTTCCATTAGTTTCAGAGTACCTAGATTGCTTATAAATCTTTCTCATCTGCTCTTTAAAAACATCACAGAAAAACACTGATAGCTGATCAGTGGCTTTGTGGGTTTGTTTGGTTTTTATTCCTCCTGTGATAAACTCCAGGACCACCAAGGGTACTTTTGGGCAAGCCTCTGGGATATATCATGAAGTAATTTTTCGCAGTTACGTTCAAAGATACAACTGTCTTTGAGTAAGTTTGTAAAGGCTGAAGGTTGTGTAGTGACAGGATTCCAACAATATTGTCTCCTGATGAAGTCTGCATTTGATTTTCTGAAGGGATTAGTTTTCTGCATTGTTTATTTCAAACAATGCTAAGAGCCCTGTTCTTGGATTAGCATTTAAGTAATATATATATTATATTGCCTGAAATCCTAGCTTTTAGCTCATTTAAAGTTGCAATGGTGGGAGATGGTAGCTTTCTGTTTTTTGTAATTCACGCTTGGCACTTCTCATAGTGTACTCTATCCTAAAAGCAGCAATCTGACCTTTTAGAAATTATTTCTAGGTGACATCACAGTAATTACCTTAATAGGGATCAAGCTGGGGGGAGGGATTACTGGGGGAAAAGCTGACTCCTCTTTTCGGTTTGATGACACAATGTTAGAGTGCCACAAACTTCTTACTCCAAACCAGAGACAATATTAGCGTCACTTAGGTGTAGGCAGAAAATATACTGTTAAACTTCAGTAGCTAAAACTTTCTGTTTTGGTTGCTATTTCTCATTTTTGTTTGGTTTCATTTTTTGGAGGGCAGTCTGAGATTTCATGGTATTTGGTTATTTGCAAACAGTAGGTACAGAAGGTGAACAGAAACCAAGTTCTGTTGTTGAAGCTTTCCAATATTTTTGGTTTAGTGATTGCTAAATTGGACATTCTCTACTTTGCATAGGTAACTATAATAAGAATGAGCAAAACATGCTAATAAAAATGTAATTTGTTGATGATCCACAGTTAACCAGTTTGTGTCTCACAGGTTTTAGAGACCTACATGTTTCACTCTTTTCTTAAAGCTCGTCTGAACAGAAAGATGGATGCTTTCGCTCGACTGGAGTTGAGTACCCAGTCTGAAGAGGACAGGTAAAGTTTTCTCATTCCTGATTCTGGTTTTTAATCAGTGTTGATATCAGTGATAAAAGTCCTTTTGACTCTATTGGTATGAGATCAGGTCATCTATGACTAAGGTTCCAACTAACTGATAGGCCATTTTATTAAGATTACTGTGAAAGGGTGATACGAACACGTACAGCTGTGGCTGTTGAAATTGTGAATTGTTACTATAATTGTAATTTAATACTGGTGTACAAAAATAATTACAATCAAGTAGTAATTTAGTGTGTAGGTATACTGAATTTTAAAACGAGATTTTTATTTTTCTCAGATTAAACTTGATGTTTACCCCAAGAAGACTGACTATGGAGAAAATGGCTTCTAAAAGATTTAATCCACAGTACCTGGTCACTAGGCGTATGGTAATCAGTATGCCTAATCTGCAAGATATCAAGCTGCCAGAGGGCCCTGCTAGAAATTCCTCACTCCGAAGAATAGAAACAGGTGTTGGTAAGGGAAAAATTTTTTGAACAAATACAGTGTTTTTTCTGTTGTCTTTATGGGTGACATCACTGAATAATTTTCACAGAAACAGTGTCAGACGCTGGAAAGAAATGTTGAGCTGGGTCGTTTTGAGCTGGGGGCCTGTCTGTGCTGCTTCTTGCATGTTAAGTCAGTCTGTAGCCTGCTGTAAATTTTGCTCTGCTGTAAAAGACTGAATGCTCACAGTAGGATTGATACTGCAGAATTGTTTCCTGAGTCAGAACCACGTTCGGTCCTTAGCCACCTTATGTCCAGTTCTCCACTGGCTTCAAACATATCACTGTTAACAAAGCAAGTCCTACAGAAACGGAGTGCTTGTTTTTGTTTGTTTGTTTCCTTCCAGAACTGATATTATCAAATTAGGGAATATTCTGATAATAAGGACGATGGATGTACAAATATATTTGTGCCCTAGCACAACTGTACTCTTACTTGAATTTCATGCGATGTAATTCCTTGTTGCTGTGATGGGGATTCTTTTTGTTGTTTGTAGTATGGCGGGTTGTGAAGATATTTGCTCTTTTACTCACTGCTTACACTAATCCATGTACTTTTTTTGTTTGTTTGCTTTTAGCTGTGAAAATGCCTTACAAATCAGTCAGTACCTTCAAAATCCCAGAAATTCACTTTCCTCTGATGTTCCAGTGTGTTCACTCCTACTATACAGACTTCTTCAACCATCTCAGCAAAGCTATAAATACCTTACCACCTGATAACTCAGCGTTGCTGGCAAGGTACTTCTACCTCCGGGGACTTATTAGCTTGATGCAAGGGAAACTACTCAATGCACTTTCTGACTTTCAGAACCTAGATAAAACAGACTTAAGAATTTTCCCAACTGATCTTGTAAGAAAAATAGTGGAAACTATGTCTCCTTCTGAGCGTTCTCAAGCAGACCGCAAACCTGAGCTGAAGAAGCTGATAAGCCGAGTGATGGAAAAACAAAGAGAAGTTATGAAAATAGATGACCACGTAAAACATTTTGAATTGCCAAAAACACACATGCAACTGGATGATTTTGTGAAGCGAATCCAGGAATCTGGGATTGTGAAAGACATAGACACTATACATCGGTTATTTGATGCCCTGACAGTAGGTGAGTACAAGATACATTTTTAGTGACCATCTGCATTGGTGCAATGACAATTTCAAATTGTTTTTTTGAATGATCTGAAATAAATTTTCTGTCTCCAGTTGTTTTTCTTCTTAATTATTATTCAGCTATTCTGGGCCTCTAAAAACTCACAATATGTGAGCTTTATGGACAATTTTATTTAATTAGGATAATTGTGGAGAATAGTTGTATACAAGAATGTCTGTACTTGCATCCACAGTAAAGACAAGAAATATGCTTCTATTTGGGCACACAGTTTACAATTTTTCAGGTTGTGTAGGTGAGGTAGTTTTGTGGTCTGATGGCGTGCGTTCTGCTTTGGCTTAGATTATAAGTAAAGTGAGTACAAGACTGTCGTAGCTGCTAGTGGAAAATACCTCTGTGTTGTAAAGCCACGAGGTAACATGGCAAGGTGGCACTTTGTTAAAAATAAACTAAAAAAATCCAGAATTCAAGTAGCTAATTAAATTAAATTCCTCTTGGATGGTCATCATAGCAAAAGGAGAGGTGATGTTTATATTTGAGAGAACTTTCTTCTCTCCTGAGTGAGGTCAGAATCTTGTGATTAATTTCTAAAAACATAGTTTGAGACTGCTTTTATAAAATACTATTTAGTTATCTTTCTGTGCCTAGTTACTCTGGTAACTGTTACGTTCTGTGGCCACAAAGTATTAAACATAGGTCAAAACAGTTATCTTTCTGTGCCTAGTTACGCTGGTAACTGTTATGTTCTCTGGCCACAAAGTATTAAACATAGGTCAAAATAGCAAGACTTTCTGAAGCCAGAGGTGGCACACATCTTGCAAGAATTTGTGTTTGTTTGAAATTCTGCTGTCCAAACAGATGAGTTCTTAGAATAATCAGTTACATAGAATACCTATCACTGAAGTCTTCGGCTGTTATAATTTTAGCTTTTATCCCAGGTTGGTGAGTATCTGATATTGTGGTATTCAATAGAATAGAGAACTGGAAAGTCATAATGGAAAGTACTCACTTTGGTAGGGAAGTACAAATCCTTTCAGTGGGCTGACTGGATTTTTGGCATGAATGTAAAAAAGCAAGACTAGCACAGTGTTTGCTCTCTCCTTCCGTAGAGTAAGGTGGAAGGGAGGATGCCAGATGCATGGGACCCATGGCCTAGGCTGACTGCAGGGGAATCTTCTCGTGTCAAGAGAAGAACTGTTTTCCAGGCCTATTTTTTTTTGTAGTTTTTGCACCTTGCTTACGCGTTGTGCTGCTAGAGGCACAGTTGGAAAGTTATTATCTTTTTAAAGCTATCTTTCTGTGCAAATCTGTACAATTGTATCTCACAGTAAACAGGTTTTAAAAATTTTTTAGGACATCAGAAACAAATTGATCCTGAAACATTCAGAGATTTCTACAACTACTGGAAAGAAACTGAAGCAGAAGCTCAAGAGGTGAATCTGCCACCAACAGTTATAGAGCATCTAGATAAAAATGAATGTGTCTACAAGTTATCCTGCTCAGTTAAAACTAACTATGGTGTAGGAAAAATAGCTCTGACCCAAAAGCGCTTGTTCCTTTTGACTGAAGGAGGATGTCCTGGCTATGTCCAGATTGCTGCTTTCAGGGATATAGAGGTGAGCATCAAGTAACTTCTTGCTCTCTTGCATGCCAATGGATATAGCCCGGGTTCCATTCTGCAAAAAGATGTGTCTCAAAAGTTTCAGTAAGGAGTATGGGAAACACCTCTGAAGTCAGTAACTTATGAGTGATGAGATAGAATTCTGGGTCTTTGGGCCAAAAGTTTCAGAGCTGATGCAGTACGGTTTGCAAGGTGCCAAGATGGCATAGAACTAAAATCGAGAGGCCGTAACCTCTAGAAGGATAGAAACGTGCAAAGCGCAGCGCATGAGATATAGGGCTAGAGAAGCTTAATAACCGGAGTCTGAAGTGTGCTTGTTCGACTGTGGTGTCAGCAAGCCAGCTTGTACCCCTGTGGAGCGAAGTCTGTATGATTTGGAACTTACATTTTCATAACGCCATCTCTGCTTAACGTTGTGTATGGACACTTGAAATAATTAGCTGTAGCTAGAAACAGAGAAAGTTGCCCTGTGGGTGAGTGCTGCACCTTATCTGTGATTGCATGGTACATCCTCCTTGTTATCTTTTTTTTCATACCTTCCCAGGATGTGAAGAGCACGACTGTAGCTTTCCTTCTTTTGAGAATACCTACTCTGAGGATTAAAACATTATCTAAAAAAGAAGTCTTCGAAGCTAACCTTAAAACTGAGTGTGATCTCTGGTACCTGATAGTGAAAGAAATGTGGGCTGGAAAGAAAATGGCGGATGATCACAAGGTATAAATGTGGGAATTTCTAACCAAATAAGTATGAAGTATGTGCTTCTCTCTCTAAGTAATTCATACATCAGTTTTAGCATTTCTAGGTTTCAGTGAACAATAGCTAAGTAATAAACTTTTTTTTTGCTGTTGCTTCTAAATAGAATGCTTCTGGAATAATACAAAAAAAAAGAGAGATTACATTTAAAAACAGGATATTTTTTGTCATCCATTGTCAAGGAACTTTTCGTTTCATCATTAGTTCTGTGAAATGGTTTCTGAAGTTCACAAGGTATGAGAATAGTGATTCTAACTAACAGAAAATTTTCCCCACCTTGCTTTAAAATATAATGTGTAGAAAGAGCTTTGCCATGCTGGAACCCTGGTGACTATAGATCCTTTCAATTAATAGAGACAAATATATTCTTCTGCCACAGAAACCTTGCAAAAAAGGATCATACAAGCAGGGTTTCCATTTAAACTGCATGATTCTTCCTGACTGCTGAATTTGATAAAGAGCTTGGTGGTTCTTTAGGAAGGATTTGAATCATTTTAGCCAAGGTGAAGCATAATGCATATTTCCCTCCAGTGAAGAAAGATCCAGCCTGAAAATGGGTATCCATCCAGTGTCCACTGTATGTTTCCCACCAGTGCCATTCATATGGTTTCGTTTGCACATCCTGCCTCAAGATTGTGCCAGACCTGAAGTATTCTTTCAGTGTAAAGAATTAACACCGGCTCCTGGCTCCCCGATCCGTGACCTTGTGTGGGAGAGGAACGCGTGATGTGGGAGTGGGGCTTGACTGCAAGTAGCAGGAATTATGCCGCAGGGCAGCAACTGGCTAGTGCTTGTGCCAAGCATGGCGTGCGTTGCGATTGTTGAACGAACATGAAGGCTTGTAAGAACAATGAGCCATAGATAAACTACAGTAAGACTTTCGTCTTTAGGATCCTCAGTATATTCAGCAAGCGCTGACAAACGTTCTCCTGATGGATGCTGTGGTTGGTGCCCTGCAGTCCTCCAAAACCATATATGCAGCCTCTAAACTGTCTTATTTTGACAAGATGAAAAATGAAGGTCAGTCACATGGCAGTGCTACAAAGCCTGCTGTTGTTGCGTTGTCTGTCTCCGCTCTTTCTGTTTATGTTCTGGTTTTCAAACTGATTATCTGTAGAAATATAGAAAGATGTTAGTCTGATTGCGCTTTCACAGGCGTGGTTTATTAAATAGTATTAATAGACAGCTTAGAGTGGGGTGTTTTTTTTTTGGGTCTGTGCATCAGAACCTTAGTTGGTGTCTCTGTGTTGGATGCTGTGGTTTTGTTTTGGTTGTTTAGACTGCTTTGGTGTCGTATACATAGTTCTGCTATCAGAATTCATAAAAATGGTGTTTGGGATCTCCTAGTCAGCTAAGGCTAGAGGGAAAGAAAGTGAGAAATGTGAATAAATGGTGCAGAATTATTATTTCATATGAATTATAGATTTATTTCAGGCTTAAGTGTGCACTTCATGACCTTTTAAAAATCTATTTTAGTGCCTATGATGGTCCCCAAAACAACTTCAGAGACATTAAAGCACAAAATCAACCCCTCAGCTGGTGAGACTTTTCCACAGGCAATAGATGTCTTGCTTTATACACCAGGTAAGGTGATGTATTGCTTGCTTTATGTTAACCCGGCTTTAATTAGCCTATAAAGCATGTAATCTCATAACACCTGGTATTATGAGTGCCTGATTTTGTTCACATTCTGACATGCTTTGGTTGTGTGTTGAATACTAAAACAGAAAATCATTAAAAATGAACATTAATATTGCATATTAAGATACTCCAAGGCATAGCTTTCACGGTCTTAATTTATCTTCCTGTGTGTATATGCCTTGTAATAGACTTCAATTATGTGTTAATGGGCTAATTTCTCATTAAGACTTCTGCCTCGTTGATTGATCAGGGTGGATGAGTGATGCTCCACCATTGATGAATGTTCATTGTTATTTTTTTATTTTTCAGTAGAGTCATGTGGGGGTTTTTGGTTGAACGACAGTGCAGGGTATAGTGTACCACCTCTTGAAGTCCCAGCCAGATGTATGTGCCTGTGACTCTCGTTGTGTAGTATGGGATCTAACGTACTATTCAGCGCGTGTAACTGGAGTCAGTCGCTGAAGAAAGCAGTTTCAATTTCCTTGTGAGCTTTCCTGTGATACTTGGTACATTTATAACTGACCAATTCAAAAGCATTGGAGAAAAAAAAAAAGAAAAATTAATGACTGTATGCAATGGGCATGAAGTTAGGTAGCAGATATATTAATTCTGGAAGTTCCTAACTCTTAACTTCATAAACTTACTAGTCTTCTGCTGTAAGTTCATATATAATTCCTAATATTTGGGCAATTTGAGTCAAAAGGGGCAAGTTGGTGGAATTCCAAAGTTAAGAAGCAGGCAGGAGCAACTCTACGTGGGTGGGTTTTGTGGGTTGCATGGTGCTTTTCTTTCTTTGTGGTATGAGGCTTCGAAGCGGAGCTCTAATGGAGCAGAGAGCAGGCTGCACAGGACCTTGTCCAGGCGGGTCTTGAGTATCTCCAGAGAAGGAGACTCCACAACCTCCCTGGGCAGCCTGTTCCAGTGCTCCGTCACCCTCAGAGGGAAGAAGTTCTTCCTCATGTTCAGACGGAACTTCCTCTGCTTCAGTTTGTGCCCATTGCCCCTTGTCCTGTCGCTGAGCACCACTGCAAAGAGTCTGGCCCCATCCTCCTGACACCCACCCTGCAGATATTTATAGGCATTTATAAGGTCCCCTCTCAGCCTTCTCTTCTTCAGGCTGAACAAGCCCAGCTCCCTCAGCCTTTCCTCACAGGAGAGGGGTTGGACTAGATGATCCACAGAGGTCCCTTCCAACCCCTACCATTCTGTGATTAGTTGTATTTCATAGGGCTTAAAAGCCTCCCTGCAATCCCAGTTCGCTAAGTACTTAGTCATCAATGGAAAAGATTATCTCTGCTCTCATTAACTTTGAAGTGTAAGATTTAATCGTCAGGTGAGGTCAACAAATGGATGAGAACAAGCACAAATTCATTGTGATAACTGTGTTGTTCGTTAGCTGGTGATGTGAGTTCCACAGCGGAGATGCGTTTTGTTAGAAAGCTGCTCTGCCTAATAATGGTTTTCCCACGTCTCCAAAAGTGGTTTATTTTCTTTTACCGCTCTCATCTTCTCTGCTTCATTTCTAGGGCATCTTGACCCTTCAGAAAGACTTGGCAATGCTCATCCGAAACTATGGTGTGCTTTAAATGAGGGGAAAGTGGTGGTCTTTGATGCATCTACCTGGTCTATTCAACAACACTGTTTCAAAATGGGCCGCTCTAAACTGGTAAGCCTGACACACGTATCGCAATCGCTGCTCTAGCTTGGTGGTTTTGTTGCTATTGGCCCTGAATCACTGTCGTTCCTTAAAAGCTGTAGAAAGACTCTTGAGTTGTTCAGGCTTCCATTATCTTGGAGAAATGGAGATTTATGAGAAAAGGGGAAAGGAGAGCAAATGGATTCCTAATCACAGAATCACAGAATGGTAGGGATTGGAAGGGACCTCTGTGGGTCATCTAGTCCAACCCCCCTGCCGAAGCATGGTCACCTACAGCAGGCTGCACAGGACCTTGTCCAGGCGGGTCTTGAATATCTCCAGAGAAGGAGACTCCACAGCCTCCCTGGGCAGCCTGTTCCAGTGCTCTGTCACTCTCAGAGGGAAGAAGTTCTTCCTCATGTTCAATGAAATAAGTCAGCTGGTGGCAAGTGATGGATTGGATATTGGAAGGGTCTGCTGGCCTAATGGCCTGGGTTCTTGGGGCAGGAAGGCAGGTGTGAGACAGTTGAGGAGAAAGAATAATGGAATCAGTATAAAGAGAAGATGAGAAGGGGAGCCCTAAGAATAGATGAGAAGTCACCTGTGCTGAAGAACGGGAAACTGGAAAGGTGGAAAGAAAGAAACCAGGTGGATGAAAGAGAGATAGGGCTCCAAAAGAAGATGACTCAACCAGCAGGTTAAAGAGAGCTGCTTGTGAAAGACCATCTGAAAGTAATCACAGAATCACAGAATCACAGAATGTTTGGGGTTGGAAGGGACCTCTGTGGGTCATCTAGTCCAACCCTCCT